AAAGAGCTCGTGAGGAGATTCCTCCATTTAAATGTTGCAACAAAAGAAATTAAGAGTATGAATTTGAATATGAATACAGCTGGCACATCTTCAGGTTGCCACAACCCTCATTACAAGTGAACTGACCCTTCCTCTGGCAGATTCTCATCGTGTATTCAGGAGAAATAACAAATGAGATAATACCTGGGAGCTGAGGCTGCGTCTACATATTGCTTTTTCTGCTAATGCACAGCCGCCATGCATAACATCCCCCAGCTCATGATACATACATCATCTGTTACATATTCAAAACACCACACTGCAGCCAGATATGATGAGGCCTAATGTTGCACGCATCATTGACCAACAGTCAAAAAAAGTCATCAAAGATAATTTATTCAGGTTGCAGGCACAGGTCACGTGAATTTTAAATATACCATAATGGAATATGGAGCCTCTCTGTTCAAATACACAGCTGATGCAGGAGTGAGGCTCAGAGAAATATATCCATACATTTGTTAATTAAATATTCTATCAATCGGTAAGTGTTAGTGCAAACAAAGATGCAACACACAACAATGAGGCCACTATGCTTGTGAGTCCAGAGCAGAGATGTGTATCTTTCTGGGCTGTACTTGATAAGATCAATGCAACCTGAGCACAGCTATTAAATGTCTAATGTGTTTTGGAACTTGTAGATGCTATGACAGTGCGGGCATTAACAGAGAGAGAGAGCGAGAGAGAGCAAGAGAGGCAACAGAGCATCAGAAAAAACAGCTCTCTAAAAGATATCAGGTTTGGCCAGAAGGGGCTTCAGTCCACGATGCACATCAGCAAAGTAAAAAAAAAAAAGAGAAAGAATGAATTGAAAAGAAAAATTAAAAGAGAACAGAGAATTTAGTTTTTTTAGGTTTTCAGAGTCAGCGCAGGAGAGGGAAATAAAAAAAGTGGTAGAAACCTGGTTGGAAAGTTAAAGATCACCACATCTTTTATTATAAACCAGGCCTGGGTCCTACAAACATAGTGAAAGTATCAAAGCTCTTAATCAACACAGAAACACACACAGCCTGTATTCAGAAACTGTCTTAAATGAGCTCTCAAGGCTTCTGTAGATTTGTGATGTCACAAAGGAACAAGCACCGCCCACCCCATGTCTCAGGTTTGGCCTTCGTCAAGTTGGTAGCGTGTTAGAAATTCTTTCCTTTTCCCTAATATGAGATCTTCAACTTGTGCATTTACATAAATAATCAGTATATTGTTATCATAGGCAAAGAAAATAAAAACAGAATGTTCACGTTGGAGAATTAGAAGAAGTGACTTTTTGACAATTTCTTTTAAAAACTGTCTTAATAGGAGATTTCCTGCCGATCATTTGAATTGAATCAGTACTTTCTCTGCAGTCAAAGCCTAACACAGCTTTTTTAATTCTCCACGCCACAGTCCTCCACTGTTGTCCAAAAACTGTGGATACCATATTCACCATCGTGCTGCTATAAATACCGACAAGAAAAGTAAATATAGACGGATCTGTGGCTGGAAACAGTCCCACTATTTATTCCTGTTTCAGCCACATTTGGCACCTGCAGCTGGTTTAGTTATGTACTGTTCATATTCTTTAATGAAGCCGCTTTTAGACAAGTTTCCAATGATGAGGGGTGAACTCAGAAGTTCTGACTAGTAAAAGTCATATAAACCTTTTTCCTTGATTGGCAATTAAATAAACGTAGAGTGCATGAAGTAAAAGTACACGATATGCAAAACTGCCCATTTCAGATTAATGTTTATCATATAACTGTGCTATGATTTTTGAAACATTGATGTGTTCCTCACTTTAACGTTGCAGCTGGTAAAGGTGGAACTAACCCAATTACTTTAGGTTATTATAGTGATTTACTTTTAAAATATATTTTGCATTGAAGAAATAAATTAATAAAGAAGCTCTTAAACTTAAATGATTTTTAAAATATATTTTGCATTTGAATCTGCAAAGTGACAAAAGTTACGGTGGAGTAAAAAGTACAATATTTGCATCTGAGTCATGAGTTAAGTACCTGAACATTTTACCTAATTAAACTGCCAGTTTGTTCATTTCCTTGAATTTGTGGGACTTTATATTTTTTTTAAATCCTCATCCTTCATTATTTTATTTTCTCTATTTCTCACTAAGTGTGAATCTTGATATTTGTTATTGACAGCTTCCAGTGATTCCTCAGTGTCAGATCCACTGATAAATCTCGATCCAAACACCATTTAGTTCAGTGGTTCAACCTGCCACCTCAAACTAAAAACACACCATCGACTCTAACATCTCTCTGAGAATCATCAACTGCCGCTGTGATACCGCTCTCCTCTAAATCCTTTTTTTTTGTTATATAATCGGCCTATTTATTTTTATGTTTATATTGTTGTACCTGCAGCGGAGCACTTTCAGACGTCCTCACGCTGGAATCGTGTAGGCACACATTTAAAAACCAGAGGCTCTCAGGCTTTTGTGGAGACAGAATAACCTCATTTCACTCAACTGAATTATCTCTAAAATATCTAATAATGAAATCCAGGAGGTACAGAAAACTGCTGGTGTACTCTCATTTTGAATAAGAGTTACCTCTTTGCAATTTCGTCTTGCCTCCCCCACTCTCTCTCTCCCTCCCTCCCTCTCTCTCTCTCTCTCTTTCCCTCCATCCTCCCTCTCTTCATCCAACTCTATTGCGCTCTTTTCATTGCCCAGCTCACGTATTGAATCTGCCTGATGAAAACAGATCTCACTGCAGCACCACAATAGAATGGCTGATGCAGGAAAGATGAACCCTAATGGATTTTTTTTTTCAATGTGCTCAAGATTGAATATAAGGCCTGACCTCCAGATGTAGTGGATCCATTTCAACAGCAGATATATTGTTTATAGTGAAGACACAGAAATACATAGACACACTTATAGTACAATGTCAACAGCAACAGCCGCAGCAGCAAAAGACCACTTCTATCTACAGCACCCAGACTCCATCTTTTAACCACCGAAACAGTCTCCATTTAGAATTAACCCTTGTTATTTATCTATAAATGTCAAGTGAGGTATTCAAAATGATAGCATCTCATGTTTGAACTGCAGAGTTTGCTTAATTACTTTGCTCAGCAGACTGTGTCAAGGTGAGGCACCGATTTAATAGACACTCCGCTCTCAGCACAAATGAACCTCTGCTACGGTTTGGTAGTTTCGCCGGGGAGACTATTTGATTTAGAAATTTCTGAGTTTGCTTTATATGCTGCCTTTTTTTGCAGTAGAGTTGAAGCAGAGCACTGAAAAAGAACCTCCTATATGGCCAAGCTGCTTCTCTCCGAGCCTGTTCGAAACATTGAATTATCTTCAAATATCAAGATCTGTGAGGTTTATTTGCGAAACATCATTTTTAAAAGCTTTATTTATTTCAACATGTTTGCTTTTGTGTCTCGGCCTCGATGTAAACACCGGCAGCTGCCAGCATTTCCTGTGTATCCTTTAAATGTATGTGGATCGTATGCCAGCAGAACATTTCAAATCTCATGCATTTTTATCACACGACCTGCAGCTTTCAATCTGTTAAAACCACCGACTCTGGTTCTCTGTAGCAGTAACAAATATCCTGAGTGCCGAGCGAAACACTGGCCAATCAACCACTGTCTCCACGGTAAAGGTCATGACCAAAATGTGAAATGAATATCAAGATAAATGACACATGAATCCAATATGTAGCCGGGCGTATTCCAACATTATATATAACATATAGTATCTTTATATTCCAGATGTTTATCAAGTCATATTTGGACTATTTGCTGACTGCTGTTGTTTGTCCTGATCTCTATAATAAATACTGCTTGACATTGACATGCATGTATGTATTTTAATGTGTATGAATATATTCTCTTTCTTAAAGGACGCTGCTGACTTTAATCCACAATGAGGCCTCAGACAAAAAGAGACAATATAAAACATACTATAACATAATAACTGCATAGTGGTGATCTATAAAATATCCAGAAAGGCACAGCTGCCGAGCGAAGCTATTTCTGTGTGTTTATGATATCAGTCGATATCAAGTAAAGTATGAAGCTGTGAAATTCTGTCTTTAAACCCTAAACACAAAAATCTTTGCATATGTTATGATCATTACTCGAGAGATTTCCAATCTATAAAAATCCTCCACATCTGTGCATATTTCAAAGGGATATTAAATATCTAATGCAAATCTAAATCTATTCAGTACATAAAAACTACATTCTTTACATTTTACTTGCTGAGCGGGATCCTAAAATCAGGTAATGATTTAAACCCATCTTAAACGCTAACCTACTGTATGACTGCTAACTAGAAGGGCTTTGCTTATTGCAGCCTTTACATTATGTTCTCCACATGTGCTTCACATATATCATTTGTGTAATAGAAATCTCCTCCATTTCCTGCAGTTCTCATGAATGCAATTATGGCTTGAAGATGCTAATTTGTGGAGGAGCAGGTCTGTGTGGAGCTGAGGGAGTAATCAGCGCGTATTCATGTTGGAAGGCTTGACGGACTGACTGATGCTCGCTGTCGAGGTAGATATGATGCTGATGGATTAGCCCACAATCCTTTTCTCCATGCATCACAGCTGACATGGCGTCCACTGAGAAAAATCATTCAGTACCCCACTTAGCCACCGTCTTCATTTCTTGATTACTTTCTACGTAAAGCTCAGAAGGTGTATCATGTTAGAAATCTGACGTTTCTATAGGTTTCTATCTTAAAATTGCTGTTCTGGATTATGTGCTATGCTGAGAAAATCATTTTAAAAAGTCATTAGATATATTTTCCCCTAAATTGCAACTCAGTTTCTGCCTCCTTGTTTGTGCTTGTAAACACTTAAGGCATAATAGTTTTTCCTCATATCCTCTCGTACCTCAGATAGAAAAGAAGGACTCCTAAAAAGTCTTAGAGAGGTTTAGTTTGAGTCCTAATTTTCACTGTAATCACTAGTTTTAAACCGCTCAGTCCGCGAAGCGCTACTCACCGAGGGCATTTGGCTGGAAACGAGGTGGCCGTCCTGCGCCAGCATGTTCGACATCATGAGTGTGGGCAGCTCTGGGTAGGAATACGGGTTGATGAGCCCATTGTGTGGCAGCGAGTGGCAGAGGTAGCCTGTAGAGTCGTGCTCCATCAGGTGAAGTAGAGGGGGCTCGGGGTGGTTCGGTGGAGTGATGGGGGGGATCTCGTAGTCCTCGTCCCCATTTCCACCGCCGGTGCCACCGCCTCCGCCTCCTCCCCCGCCGCCACCACTCTGACCTGTGTAGCTCTGAGAAGAAAAGACAGTGAGAAACATTAGGTTAGATGAAGTTGTGTTTATAATTCTACCCACAGCTGATTTCTATCTGACTCTATTCCATACGGGAACATTCAGTTTACACTATCAGAGTTACAAAATGGGAATAGTGTTGGTGCCAAGATCTGTTCACTTCCTGCTTAGGCCATACAGTTTAACTGGAGCACTACCAGGGAATAAAACTCCCACTTGAATCATCAGCATCACAGGACGAGAGCAAATACATAACAAGATATAGTTATTTGATAAAAAAGTCGACAGCAGCCTTTAAAGGTACAGTGTGTAGAATTTTGTGATATCTGGTGTTGAAGTTGCATGTTGCAGCTGAACACCCCTCACCTCACCCTCTCCTTCCAAACATGAAAAAGAACCTGTGGTAGCTTCATAAAAACTCAAAAGGTGTTTAGTTTGTCCAGTCTGGACTGATGTAAAAAAAGACTGGTGTAAATATAAAGTATTTAAATCTTGCACACTGGACCTTTAAAACGCCCGGAGAAGTCAATTAGAACTCAAAAGATTCATTTTGTAAGAAACATCCCGGCACCAAAGTTAAAATTAATTTGTCTCCTCCAGTAAGAAAAACAAGTATCAGTACATATGAAAAGAAAAGTATATCAATCAGTTTAAAATCAGAACCGTCCAGGATGTTTTCCCCCTCCTCTAACCAATGTTGGCTTGGATCCACTCCAGGTATCCACGCAACCCTCTAAGGATGAGTGGTATTGGTAATGGATGGATGAATGAGACAATAAGTTTGCTTTCGAATTAGGACAGCAGGGTAGGCCTATACTTCCTCTCGTAGTACAAAAATTATAAGTCTGTGCTGAAGTGATTGTGATGTGGAGCCGATATGGTCAACCAATCGCAAGCCAAAAAGAGCACTTGAACAAACATCAGTTTTAAAGGACTACCAATAATGACAGAAACCATCTCTGACTTTTTGTATAGTCCCATCTTTTAACATGGAGGAGGCAGGGTTTATGACCTAAACTGCTCCATCCACCAGGGGGCAATACAGCTGATCTGGCTTCAATTTGTGGGGCGTTGTCATGTCCTCCATCTTTGTACACAATCTATGCGTCAACATGGCAGGTAACTTGGATATTGTAGAGTTTTTATTTAATGGAAATTTACAGTGGTAAAAAGAACCTGTCCAGATATTTAACCATTAATAAAGATACTTGATGTCTTCAGTTAACTGTCACTTAGGAAATGCATCTAATTGTTCTTGCAGGTTCTCAATGTTCATCTTTTTTATTAAACTATTACAGAGCAGCTAAAAAAAATGTTGAGAGTTAAATCACTGCCAGGAACTAAACCGATTCTCTGCACGGAGCTACATTAAAAGTTATGTGTCATTGTTAAAATGGATGACTGTTAAAGCCAGGCTGTAAGTGCAATAATACACTTTGACTCTGTTTTGTGTTGTGGGGGGATTTGCCTCCATTATTTTCACATATCAGGACACCTTGTTGCTTCAGTGTTAGATAAGACAAAAGAGCACTCCAGGATATTTATGGCACAGTGGCTCAAAACGACAGCTGTACTAACTAATGTTCGCTTTGTCCGTTCAAAAAGTAAATGCAAGATTTAGAAATGTTCAGAAACCTTCAACAAAACTTCTTCAACAGTAAAGGTTGATGTCAACGTCATGCTACAAATCCACTAAAAGGATTAATCCTTAAACAAAAACTGTTCTGAGGCACAAGACAGACAATATGAAGAGTCATTTATGAACTGTGTTCGCATCTTGTCGTCTGAGGTTCTCAGTTTCCTGCTATTCTGCGTAAAGCTTCATAATCTTTTTAAATTCCGATCTGTCGTTTTGTTAGACGATAGGTGTAATTTTCTTTCAAGTGTTCAACGTCTCATTTCGGAACAAAAACCTCGATGTTCAGTGATCTGTAATGACGATGAGCGTCAGCCTCTGCATTCGGGTGCTGTTACGCTAACACAGTGAGTCCAATCAGATCAGAGTTCTGCACAGAAGAAAAGAAAAATAGCAGGGAAATCCAACGGGGGGGAATGAAAAGCAATTTTGTCTGAGACGATCCAACTTGACTCCCATTGTAATGACTGAGTCAAATTAATCATCACAAATAATATTCTGGTGTCAGCCATTCAAGGGTTTTTTAATAGAAGTTTTATGATTCGTGTCTCGCAGTATACATCAAACAGTCACTTCGGCAACATTTCTGAAATCAATTCAATATCATCTTTGTGTAGGCTGTCATCCTCAGCAGCCGAGTGGTCATTTATCTCTCAAACAGATACTTTTAGAAAATAAGGGGCGAGGGGAGATGGAGCAGAGGAGAAAGGATACAGGGCACATTTTTCTCCCTCTTTCTTCCCTCAGCCATGTTTTACTAGAAATATTGGTGTAAAGATGTTTTTCGGACTGTGTAAATCAAAAGTTTGTTAATAAATGTAATTATAATAATAATCATATCTTTATTTATTTGTAACACAAGGAAATATACATAAAAATAATGTAAAAACGAAATAAAGCTTAATTTAAGCATGACCTCCTAATATTAGGGAGTGTGGTACGATTAAAGTATGTTTTAGACTTTGATCTAAAGGAAGCTACTCATTCACAGAGGTTGATTTCTTCATGATAAATAAGCATAAAAAACCTCCATCATCATCAGAAAACGTTAACAGCCACAATTCAGTTGTCGTCAAATGTTGGTGGAATAAGCCTTTTGTTTGCATGTGGGTCACATATTGTGCCTTTATGTGCATTGTAAAGGACATTTTTTTCAGCTTTCAGCAGTATTTAAAACATGTCCTTTTAGATGAATATCAATCACAGGCTGTAAATGCAATGGAGGAATTTCATTCAGCTTCAATTCCTGCAACACCCCTCTTTAATTTAACCACAAAAGAGGACGTTAGCAATGTTTTATTGTGGAGCATGAATGTAGACACAGACTCAGCATTAACGCCACGCTTTCATCTTCCTACACGTTACAGCACATGAAAAAAAACCAGACGTGCGATCGCTTCAGTTTGATCCACTTTGTCCTGAATTCGCCTCAGAGCCGGTTGATATAAATTTTCTGGACTCTGTTTTGAAGACAGATGTTTTTGTGTAAACCTGTGGGGATCCTTGTTATTGTTTGGTCTAATGGACAAGAAAACGAACATTTCCTGAGATTCAATTTCCCTCATAATTGTTGGAAGGAAACTAAATTGTCTGCTGTAAACACTGGAGCCATTGTGCGAGGACAACCCAGCACCCCCACCCCCGCCCCCCCGTGCATGTCCCTCGTTGTTGTCATCCTCCGTTGTGGCTGCGGGTGACCACGGTGTAATCTAAATCCTGCCACGCTTAGTCATCATCGAGCCTGTTCATCAAACCTTTTTGTTTGCTCGGTTTATAAATATATATCCAAGCTACAGAAACATTTTCCCGGTGTCATCGTCGCTTCTGATCGCGCAGAGGGACGGGAGCTGAGTGTGTGTCATGTGTTAGATTGCTGTGAAGGCTCATCCAGTGCCCTTGATGATAAAATGTAAATACCAAGGACGTTCCCAGTTGGATTGTGGCAAGATAAATTATTCATACGCCACTATTCAGAATGAGATTGCATGTACAGAACCACATGTACACTCTAGCTAATGTATACTCTTTTCTCCTTTAAAAGTAAAATCCAAACAAAGACAATGTATTTGATGGATTGTATAGACCAGCGTGTGTCCTAGTATGGAATTGGCTTTTCAAACAAAAGCCTGCTTTTACTTTTTTTTTCCTCCTATGAGGGACTAGTCATTGGTTTACTCGCAACAGTCAAGGCAACACTCCCAGCAAAAGCTTCATGACACAGATTCTATTTTCTCACTGAAAAATCCTTTATTTTCCTCCTCTGATCAATACGGCATACTGTAGGGAACATTATTTCCAATACGCAGTATGCTCGGTCTGCACAGCGAGCGAAACACAATCTGTAACATTTTAATTAAGAGACAGATCTCCCCACTGTAAGTGTTACATACCAGCACACCTTTCATTTGAAAGAAACAGATGAATAGACAGTTGGTCTGGGACTGAGAGAGAAAATAACATTGATTGGGGAGCTTTCCAGCTTGTTTTTTTTTATTTGGCACAGATCTCTGCCTCCCTCTGTAACACTGCCTGAGTATCCGAGGCCTTCTGGAGATGATATCGACTGTGGCTAATGGCTCATTATCTGTACATTCTTCTTATTATTAGAATATTGTGATGCCTGGAGAAATCTGGCGTTAGGACATAACCCAATTTATAAGAAATTTCATATTATTCATTCTATAAAAGGCTTGGCTGCCAAATATCATTTGCAATAATCCTTTTTAGTGTTATTTCCCTTTTAGCATTTGTAAAACACTGCATGATCTTGGCATAATGTTTATTTAGAACTGAAGCAACCACTAGAGACTTTATCATTGATTATCAATTAATGACTGAAGCATTATTCAACCACATTTTCTGCTTCCATCTTTTTAAATGTGATGATTTTCTGCTTTTATAATCGCTGTATATTGAGTATTTTGAGGGAGGTTTGTTGTTGGTTGGGCTAAACGAGCAATTTAATTGTCCATAACCATGGCATATTGGAATTAAACACTATTTCACACATTTTCGACATTTGACGCATTGAACAGTTCATTGATTCGCAGATGAAATGAACGATTAGCTGCAGCTCTTATTTGCTGCTTTCGTAGTTTATTGCCATCAAAGGAACGTCATTAGATAAACATCATTTTGACAGGTGCCCCCCCCCCCACACACACACACACTGTGAACATTTCCTCTAACAAATAATCGTGCAAGAAGTCACTTCGCACACGCCACGTGCTCGTGTGCCACGCAGACGCAGACGAGTTTGGATTCCCCCCAAGTCAGCGTTTGTTTTCAGGGGAGAGGGCGGGGCCGACAGCTCCGAGACACACGATGACAGATCTGCCTCACTCCTAATGTGCACTTATCTGCCTATTGGAGAGCTTTGTCACTGTGGTGATTTATGCTTCAAATCCAACACACACACACACACACACACACACACACACACACACACACACATTACCACTTCCATCACCTCTGACACTCTTGGTTCCAACACCTTCCTGTGCGGCGCTCGGCACACACAGTCAAAGTTAGGCCGTGTTATCTTCCCTCTCCACGCAGTCCGGTTTGTAAAGAGAACGAGAAGAATTTGAGAGCATCATCTATTTTCATTCACTCCGCCATCGTTCTCCCAAAGGAAGATTATACTGTATATTTATGAATGATCCTGTTTACTGTTGTACACACACACACAGAGCTCTTGTTTTAACGTAACAGCGGAGGCAAATAGTGCCTGTCAGACTCCACAGATCTCTTACTAATCTGAACAGCATGAGCCGTTCTGCTATTTCTGTTTATTGGAGTGTTTGTTTTTGGTACTCCTCCTTTTTCTTCCTCCCTTTCCTTCTCCCTTCATCCATCCATCTCTTTCCATCAGCTCGGGCTTAATTAAAGCCATACCCGTTCTTCTGCTACAATATCATGTCAGAGGGTATCAACACACCACAAAGCCTTCAGCCCCAAAGCGAGGGGAGGGGGGGGAGAGAGCTGGAGATCCAGTTACAGCCACCCTACACCTCCTCTCTCCTCTTCCTCCCTTGGCTGACCCAACCCCGGCCGTGGCCTGTCCCTTGCCCGCACAGTTCTGGTCGCTGCTACACATCCCCAGATCACCCCTCCACCCCCCTGCCCACCCATCCCTCTGTCATCTCATCTCTCTCTAAAACAGCCCAGCTGCATTATTTATCCGTCACTATGTTACTGTTTGGAAATCATGAAAGGGGCGGCGGGGGTGGGGGATGCTGAACCCCTGTGTACTCGGTTTCTGTCCGCTGAATGGTATGGGAGGGTGGGAAGAGAGGGAGGTGGCAGAGGGAGGGAGAGAGAGAGATGGGGAGGCAGCGAAGGGGTGAGATGGATGAAAATTATTGTCAAAGACACTTTTTTTTCGAGGGAATAAAATCCAGCTGCTATCTCTTCCTCACTGGCCGCAGCTATGTGAGGAGAAATGATGCTGCTTTGTGACGAACATGCTTTTTATTTACCATTACGAGAAGGAAAATATGCAGAGAATAATTAAGGTGAGCCCCAACTGTCAAAAGTCCAAAGACACAAATGGCCCCTTTCACCCGAGACACTGAGCTGATTACTAACTAACCTCCTATTGACTAAAACAGCCTTTCTAATTGGGTATATTTCCCCCCTTTTCTTTTATGTTTCCTTCCCTTCCTCTCCCTCGTGTATCCTGTTCCCTACGCTCGTCTCACTTGTCAGTCAAGGTCAGGGGGTCATCCTCATCTGATCGCGTGTCAGAGCAGATTAGAATCAGAGCTTTTGTGCCATGTCATATTTCATTATGCATTTGACTCATCTCGCAGGTCAATGGGTCAGTGTGATTTGATTGGATGACAGAAATGATATAATTTGTGTTTAACCCTAGGCTGTATGAGGCTCTGAGTGGCGTACTAATGCATTTTGCAAAGATGGGGCAGGCCCTCTCCACAAGCGACTAATTTGAAGTGGCACACCACAGAGTTGAAGGAGAGCCAGAGCTATTGCACAACATGCTGAGGTTATAAGGGAGGCTTTATCAAATAATAAACACAACCTCCCTTGTGCCTCCGTTGCTGTCTGTCTCTCACACACTTTCACAGCACTCTGAAAACTGATGCAAGTACCCAGGCATTAACCGCCTTTCCTGCATATAATACATTACTTTTACCCTCCATTTTTCTTTCTTTATCAATTTGATTCCCTGGAAATGTCTCACAGAGCCTCCTCTCTCTTGTTTTTCTATTTTCCTCTCTCTGTGTGTCTCTGTTTCTTCCTCGCTGTCTAATAGCACTTGATTTTGGCGAGAGAGGAAGCTAATGGAGAAGCGTTGTCAGCAACAACAACAACAACCACATTGTTATTGCAGAACATTTATGTGGGACAAAACATCTAAATAGATCCACAGTGAAAATAGAAATCGAAAAACAACTAGGTTAATATTTTAAAGTGGAATAACAACAGGTTCTATTGTTAAATAAATAATCATCTATTGACATTATATTCTCTGCTGGTTTGCACCGTATATGCACAGGAAGAGTGCGGGTCCTTTTCAGCACTAATGATATGCAGATGTCGCCCAGTGTTGGTGAAAATTCAACTGCGATCTCCACTAATGCGGTCGGAAAACAAACCACGGGTGCACAAGAGAGCTCAGGTTTCCCAATAGTCATCCCGAGTGATTGTGATGGCTACGTTGATACTGCTGTGGGTGACGGGGGAGTGAGGATGAGGAGCGGGAGCGTGGATGGCGTAGAAAACTGAAGGCGGGGGAGAGATGACTCCAACATTTCAAATGAGGACCATAATCAAACTTATTGCCTGACAGGATGAATCTAGGATTACAGCGTTACAGTGGCAGGCATACAGTGTTATTCCCAGTCCCCTCTGTCTCTTCTGCTCAGTGCGGCCATGTCTCCTGAAGAGGGGGACCCTTGTAACTACGCTCATCAGCGCACCACTGTCTGTTCTGCAAGGCTTAACAACAGCCACTGCTACTGCTGACGTGACAAAAAAAAAAAGCTGCCCAGATATTCGACAAGGCAAAAAAAAAAGAAACAGCCGCCCGTCAACTGCTTTTTTAATTTTCTGTGACTCTTCAGTTATCTATACTTTTCCTTCAGTCACTGTCAAAATCATTATTAGCATGTGGACAATGGTGCTTCTGTGTCTGAATGACAAAAACTAATTATTGTTATAAGAACAAGTAAATGGACAAAAAAAGCAGCACAATAAAGGGCTGGTGGATCTGTACCGACTGACTCTAACAACGTTGAAAATAACAAAGGGAGCGCTGATGGCGCAGTCATTCTAACAAACGTGCATTATTCTGAGAATTGTTAGGATCCTGTCACCCACAAATAACTCTGCTTTACACCAGGGGAAGGAGGGTGTGCAGTGCACGTGGCTGGTGAGAGTGCATGTACATTTGTGTGCCAGTGTGTGTGTCGTTTAATGTGTTGGCTAAATGTACATGTGCATGCATTCCTACCTGCAACAAGAAACTTTTGAGTACAACCTTTTGTGCACATCTTAGGTCTGATTTTCTTTTTAAACAAAAAACAACTTTGAGAGACTGTCTGCTCTGTGTGTGTGTGTGTGTCTGTGGTGTCAGTGTGTTCTTAAGTGTCTCCCCTCCCTGGTTCGGAGTCAATGAGGCTGTGCATTGGAGGCTGGCACAGCTGGTGGGAGCAGGAGACTAACATCTGGACCCTCGTACTCTCGGTGCCATTGTTAATAAGAGGCTGGTGGGGAATGGAGGGGAGTGGAGGAGACAGCTCTCCAGCGTCAATGAACCTCCCTGTCTCTCACTGGAGCTCTGAACTGCAGCTCGTAGTTGATGCGTTACAGAAAGTGTCCACAGAGCGGCCTCCACCATCGCAGCACATCTACAACGTAGATGAGTTACATCCCTGGTTGATATTTCTGTTATTTTTAGCAGGAATCTGTCAATCAAACTATTTGTCAGACTTTATAGACTTTCTATGAATTTGCTCATTGTTGACTCGATGACTCTTGACACAGACATTCAGTTTTATGTCTATATTTTAAGTTGTTTGATAAAAAATTTTTGTTCAGTTGACCAAATACCTTCAATATAACCAATATTCCCATAAGTCTCAGCTTTACTGTGGGTTTAGTGCAACTGTTTGCATCCTAAAATTCTTTGCTAACTAACAATAGTTAACTTGCTAAACATTGATACGTTAGCATAGTCTTTGCAGATATGTGAGCATCTATAGCCAAGCCAGGAGCTCATTGACGCTAATGGCTAAGGCTCATTTATGCTCGATGCCAGATACGGAAATTGACAGATTTTTGCATGTCTTCTGAAAGCTTATGGATATGGACGAATACAATGAAACCCGGGCAGCACCACAGGAAATCGTGAGGGGCACTGTGGCCTATACTTCAACCAACACGAGGAAGAAGTTCCAACAATGGCAAAGGGATTTTTATCATGGACAAACAGCCGCTTCTGCCTTTTTCTTAATATCACAACTCCTACACAATCTGCAAGTGCTGCCCTCTAGTGGATGTATTGCAGAACAACCATCAACGTAAAGGAAGCATGTATTATGTGGGTAGTGATGATTAGATCGTTTGAACGAACAGTATTCTTTTTGTATGCAACGGAAGTATAACTGAGCCTTTACCATTTTCTAATTCAAATACAATTATCTGCTAGGTGGCTTCACCTGCATCGACACAAGTCAGGCACAGAAGGCTGCCTAACATACAGTAGTTACCTTAACCTTTTAACCTGTATGACAACAAATGTAAAATTATACTGTAAAAGCAATTTGCTAACGGCTTTAAAGCAATATCTTAGCCGTGCATCACTTAACCAGTTTAATAAAACATATTTTATCACCCAATTTCAACTTTCTCTGAGCAGAGGAAATAAGTCTACATGGATTGATGTCGGCTCAGGGTTTTATACCTTGAAGATACTGCATCAATAATTAACCAAGTACTTTTGCTTGCAGATCTTAATTCAATGGATCATTTTCCTCTCTAATGACCTTTTTTCCCATCTATGAAGGAAAAGCAGTCAAACGCAAACTTTTATTTTTGTAAATGAACATCTCTGTGGCCGTGAGAAGGCTAAACAGAGACAAGCCATTTTGTTTCTCTTATATTAGTCTGGCATGTGATCTGGCACAAGAGCCAGTGTTTGGTCTCTCATCATTCTCTCCAGTGGGGTGAAAGGCCTAGACAAACACATTAAGGTTGCCATTAGTTTCATCTGATCACCTGGGGCAACAGGGGGATGGACAGCTTGGCAGCGAGAGGGCCTTAAACAAATATACAGCTGTGCATTTATACGTGGTGCCATGTCAGATGAGTATTTCAAACAGAGGGCTTTTAAACGGGGCGAGAGTGAGGTGGGGGTTTTCCAAATGACTGTAAAAAGGCCACGGGGAGAGAGCTTTCCATCTTTCTGCTGCCGCGACAAATATGCCTGCACATCTTTTTGCTTTGTCTCCCGCTCCCTGCTTCGTCAGCGAACAGCTATAGAAATATTTTGGCAGGCTGCTCTTTGTTTTCATTTTCACAAAAGATGGAGGGAGGGAACGAGCGCGAGAGAGGGACAGACAGGGAGAGAGATGGAGAAAGAGAGGGGAAGGGGCAGGTGGGAGAGGCACTGGGTAGAAAAGGTGAAGCGATTTCAGAGGTTTGGGTAGTATTTGAGAAAAGGAGGATGAGGAGAGAGCGGGGAGATGGAAAGGGGGAGTTGCAGAATAGGTGAGGTAGAAGAATAAGAGGAGGAGAAGACCTGGTGGGAAGAGACCAGTGGGGTCGTGTAGGTGAGACAAACCAGGTGAGGTGGCATGAAAAGGGGAACAGACAAGGGATTGGGAGGATTCGGGTGACGAGTAGAGGGTGAGTCAAAATGTGGGCATATCAATAGGAAGAGGGGGAGGAAGGTGGAAGTGTAGAGAGGGAGAAGACCCCAGCTCCAATCTAAACAGCGGGAGGAAGCTGTAAATCAGACTAATGCAGCTGAGTTATAATTCAGACCAGCAGGGCCAGGGCGCTGGCGCGGGGACCCCGAACGGCGGGAGTCCACAAAATGCCGCCGTAAGGCTTTAATCATCGCAACGATCC